TGTGGTATCTTTGTCTGATTTTGGCATCAGGGAAACTATGGCCTCATAAAATGAGTTTGTAATATTCCTTACTGTTTAAAAAGAATTTGAAGAGGATAGGTGTTAATTCTTCCTTAAATGTTTGGTAGAATTCCCCAAGTGAAGACATCTGGTCCCAAACTTTTCTTTATTGGGAGGTTTTTGGTTACTGAATCACCTCACTAGTTATAGAGCTGTTTAGATATTTTATTTCTTCATGATTCAGTCTTGATAGGTTGTTCAAAATTTATTTTAAAGAAATATATTTCTATAAATCTGCAAGATTAACTAATGGATTAGAATGATGGAAAGAGAAAATAATGGGTGATGATTCACTTTTTTGTCTTAAACAACTAGTTATATGATGGTGCAGGAACCAGAATAAAGACTGAAGTAGAAATGGGGACATTAAAGAGTTAGTCTTGGCTGGGCACGGTGGTTCACGCCTGCAATCCTAGCACTCTGGGAGGCTGCGTGGGTAGATTGCCTGAGCTCAGGAGTTCAAGACCAGTCTGGGCAACATGGTGAAACCCGGTCTCTACTAAAATACAAAAATTTAGCCAGGTGTGGTAGCATGCACCCATAGTCTCAGCTACTCAGGAGGCTGAGGCAGGAGAACTGCTAGAACCCAGGAGGGGTAGGTTGCAGTGAGCCGAGATAGTGCCACCGCACTCCAGCCTGGGCAGCAGAGGGAGATTCCATCTCTTTAAAAAAAATTAAAAAAAAAAAAAAAGTTAGGATTTAGGTGTTTTAGACTAGAGATGCCCGGAAGATATACAGAAACAGATGTTTACTGACAGCTACACATGCAGATCCAGAGCTCAGATACCCCTGAGCTAGAGTAGAGAGAGAGAAATTACAGAGTACATTTAGAGAGCAGAGAAGATGGCATAGTGGTTGGTTGAAATACAGTATTCACCAAGAGACAAGAATAGAAAATAAACCCAGAATACCTTCCTAGAACTAGATCATGGTGACAGGCTCTGATATTGGGGTTTTATTGTCTGTAAAGTAAAATTACAAAAAGGCTTTTTCCCCCTTTTGAATGACAGAATTGTTTATTCACGGCTATTTATTCCTCATTTAAAAGTAATATATGCCTAATTATTAAAAAAATTAAAAATAAAGAAAAGTAAAAATAAAATAAGTAGCCATAATTCCACCATCCATTTATAATCACCACTAAAATATGACCTATTCTTCCAAGAATTTTTCTTTTCATATCCATTGTTGTATATATTATAAAATTTAAATTATGCTATATATAGTAATTCTATATCCTATTTTTTCAATTAATATTTCATCTATGTGACTAAACATTCGGCTATTAGATTAAAAATTCTTTGTAAACATAATTTTAATTGCAACATAATATACTGAATAGATATAAAATAATTTATAATTCAATTATTATTTTATATTTACATTGTTTTCAATGTCTTCTACGATATATAAACCTAGGACAGGTACTAGTATGTACAGATCTTTGCTCCATTTCTGAAATAAAAAATTTTGAGATCAAAGGGCACAAACATCTAAAAAGAATTTTGATATTATTGGCAAATTGTTTTTGGAATTGCTAAATCAAGGTATATCCCTAGGACATGAGCCTGCTCATTCACTGCATCTTTATTCTCACTGAGCATTATAGTTTTAAAAAGTATTTACTAACTTTATAGATTAAAAAAAAAATACATCAATGGAAGTTTCTGTTTTCATGAAACTATGCGACAGGAACCACTCTCACAAACACTCCATTCCAGTAAATTCAAACTATGCCAATAAAGTGTTTACTTTTAATATTATCATCAACTATGAGTTTAAGCTCATAAAATACAAACAAATCGCTAATAAGACTACTCCAAAGCAACAGGAAAAACCTTATTTCTAGCAGTCTAAGGGGAAGATCTAGGCTACTGAAGGGAGCCCAACAAAGTGATGCTGAGTGTCAAGCCACATAACCTGCTAGAGAGCCTAAGGACTCATTAGAACTTATTAGCTTTCTGTATAGAGCAGAGGGGAAATGGTTAACATGGGAAACACAAGCAAGTTGCAGTCTCTCTTCTCTCTCTACCGTTGCTGAAGAGATGAACAAAAGACATTTTTCAATTCAAAAGTCACCTGGAAACAGAAGTACTCAAACTCCAGTATCATAGAAAAGAACTGCTTAGACTTAAGTGTTTAAAGTTCAACCATTGCATTCAATGAGGAGTAGGGGATAGAAGAGTGAGACCAAGGGTAATCCTCTTCTTTCTTCTGGTCAATTTTAATCTAGGTGTTTGGAAATCTGTATTAAGAGAAATCTACATTTTCGTGCAGGCTGAGCCTTATGAATGTTTGGTTTAGACTGAAATAACTTGGATGTGGCCCCCGCATTGCCATACAGGAGAGGCCACCTTCACGTATGCAGAGATTTCAAGTGGCAGGTGTGGTACACCTAAGTACCTTTATAATTTTGGTGGCCAGCAACAGAAACACACACATACACACAAAAGCTGGAAGGGCAGACTCTGGCAGTACCCATTTCTAACACTATCAAAAGGAGGGAGAATCTTGGCTTTGGGACACAAAGCCCCATCGGCATGCTGACCCCATGGTGGACACACAGTCAGGTATTTGAGTGCTCACTCTATAAAGTACCATGCTAGAGATTAGGGTTCCTGATGAATAAGGCAGACATAGCCCCTGCTCTCACAGAACTGAAAAAGAGTAAACAACAGAGTATATAAAATATTTTAATTAAAATTTCATTAAGTGCTTAGATGAAAATGTCAGGTATAATGAGAACGTATAAATGGGCATAAGGGGTAGGGAAACCTATGTTGGGAATTGTAGAGGCTTCCTTAAGGAGGGGATATTTGAACTGAGCTCAGAGGATGAGGGGAATTAAACTGTCAAAGGCTACCCCAGGCAATATGCACAAAGTCCTTCAGCAGCCCTTGGTGGAGAAGACCTCTCAGATGGTCTTCCTGTCCTTCCTTGTTCAGTTCCCATGCTTCTTGTCAGTCTTTCTAATCATCTGGTTTCTCATGTAAATATACTTGCAGATAGAGAATGTATATAATACCTGTCATTCTAGTTTGTACAACTTTCTTTGAGCTTGGTTAATCAAAGTTTGTTCCCAAGAGGCAAACCCTCTTTGGGCATGTTAGCAACATCAATCAGGTTTTCAAACTTAGAAGGCCACACTTCAGAGCTTGCCCTCAGTTCTGGGACAGCAGGAGTTATGTCAGCCTTGTTCATCAGGATCTCTAATATCTAGCATAGTACCTTATACAGAGAGAACACTCAAATACTTGTGGAAGGAGGGACAGTTGGGGGACTAAGAGAGCATGGCGACTGCATGTCCACCATGGGGTCAGCCTTTTCGATGGGACTTTGTGTCCCTAAACCAAGATTCTCTCTCCCTTTGATAGTGTTAGAGATGGACACTGCCACAGTCTTCCACGCTTGCTCTCCTATTTTTGGGTTTCTATTGCTGGCCAGCCATGCCCCTCTAACTCTCACTTTGGGCATGCAATACCTTTGGTCAGGTTATAGTCTAATCACACTGGCCTAAGTTTCTGTTTGCTGAAGCAGCTTTGTATACCTCTGGTCTAACATCTAACCTAGTTTATTAGGGCCATTTATAATTTCAGTCTTAGAGGGCAGCCTTATTTCCAAGTTCTTGGGAGTCACCACACTGTCAACCCCTGTAATTGCCAAACTGTTGCCTGGGTCATTAAGGACGGAGATGCTCCAGGATGCACGGCAGTCACAGGAGAAATAAGATAAGCATGTCTGCATGTGGCTAAAGCCTGTTCCTTCTTCATAAGAACAGAAGCTAGAAATGATATTCTCATATTTGGCTGTTTTCTCAAAATACGATATTAATTTTGAAAATTAAAAACAGAACAAGTGCTGGCCTGAAAGTCTGGGTGAGATCTAGACTGTTTTGATCCTGGCTCTGACACTAACTTGGCTGTCAGCAGGTCCTCTTTCAGTGTTAACTTCTGTTAAATAAAGGGGCTGGACTAGATGACTACTATAGCCATTTCTAATACTGACATTACATTATTCAATAATTATTTTTCACCTAAGAACTCTTTCTTCCCCAACTTCATAAGCACCCCAAAGATCAGTCCAGCTGCTGGCAGAAACCACCACATACTTGGGAATCTGGGTGAATCATCTCTAAATAAATCACAGAATTACCTAAGGACTTTTCATGATTACAAATGAAAATCATTCAGGAGATGAGCAGAGATTCTTGTGACCTGATACAAGTGAACAGAGCAGATTCTCTGACACACAGATCTTCTGGACCCTTGGTAATCAATCACTGGATGGAGAACAGAGATGCCTGGGAAATCTAGTTACAACCCAGCTCTAAGGTACTTTCTTCCTTTGATTTTCCCTAGAAGCAGGGTGCTTATAGAAATTATTTTTCATATGTAAAATAGTCAAACATTATAAAATGTTTTCATAAGCTTATACCTTTTACAGCCTTTGCAAAAAGCAGTTCCCTTATCTATTCTTCATATTTGAGAGTTCAGCACCTCTCACCTCGCCCCTCTGCACACAGATCTGTGCACATATCCTGCCACTGGTGCTAATTACGATCTCAACTAGGTGTTCAGCTATAATACAAACAAACTCATTTACAATCTGTTTATGACCAAAATAATCTGTTTTAATTGGCTGGTATGTTAACTTCAAAGTCACGTTTATGTTTAAACAGTTTACAAATCCTGCTTAGAGAATGGGCATGTCTGATGAGGCCCTTCCCCACCTGATGGAAAATCACCAAAAAGAATAAAGACAGACCACTAAGGGGCTTACACTCCAGAGACACACATTTGTTTCTGCGCAGCAGCTGTGAAGACTGAGCAAAGCCATGTGAATTCCAAATGATGTATTCTATTACCTCAAATAGGATGTTTACAAAAAATAATGCCCTGAGATTTATCTGAAAATGGGCTTGGGAATGTTTTACTACCTACCTTGAGTAGTGAGACTCCACCCCCAGGGCCTCCCGGACACTGGCAATGTGCTGCTCCAGGGCTGAGCCGGTTGCTGTTGGAAGGGTTGCACTGCTGCTGGCCTGGAAGTCACTTGAGTTTTCCACTGTGTTCTCACCCAGGTAGTGTTCATGAAACTTCAGAATTCCTGAAGCAAAACAGGCATAGCTGACATTATACACAATAGGGCTAGGGAAGGGAGAAGCTGAGGGCAGGGGACAGGAATGCCAATGGTATGTGACTTCATCCTGCAAATCCTGTGAAAAAATCCTGAAATCGAAGGTCTCAAGAGGGCTTTCTCTATTTTGGTCAGTACCCTTTTTATAGCTCTTACCATTAGGTATAGTGCTTGAAACCAAGGAATTCAAGATACAGCTTTTGCATTTGATGATATTTTCAGAAACTCCTGGAATTATGACTACTTCATATGTGTTTCAAAACAGATGCTTCCTAGAAGCACCAGCTAGGGAAAGTCTCCTTTCAGGAATAGTGCATGAGCATGCCAAGACATATCCTTTATAGAAACTAAAATCCCGAAGAAAAATATAATTGGCCAAGTGGAAATTGTGTTCTAACAGAGTTTTCATTTCACAAAAGCAAATTATAATAAACATACAATATAAAAGCCAGATAAAAACATTTTAAACCATTTTTAAATAAGACTAACTGGTCAATGGTCATTAATGAATTAAAGGAGCAAAAAATGATGGCTGCATAAAAGTGAGGCAGTCCACAGTGGTTTTCTGGCAATAAATAGGATATATTCTCAAATGGTAATGAGGGGTGTCAGCTCTGGAAAACGCCGATCCTCTCTGATTGGATTAGGGCCCCCAGTGAAAGCTTTAGAGCCTCATTAAGAGCAAAAAGGAATGGAAAAGAAACAAGAGGAGCCTCATTATTACAGGGATTCGGATATACCACCTGTCAAATCATGTCCCCAAGATGTAACAACCACAGAGAGAAGGAGCTTGATACCTCCCAGTCATCAACTGTGTCCGCACGAGTATCAGGGCCACTCTGGGAGCTGGGATCCACAAAGATTCCACTGTGACCAACATTTACTAACCAAGTCACTGTAAAAATCACAATTTAAAACCTTCAGCATTAAAAAGGTCAGCTGTAAGAACAGTCTTTGTGGAAAGCCCATAAAGGACATGGAACTAAAGGTAAAAGATTATTAAAAACAATGCCGAGGCATAGAATGCATAGGCATAAATGCTCATTGCCTAAAAGCATCTGGGAGCTGTCATCCAGCCATCTTTTTTTTTTTTTTTTTTTTTTTAATCAAAGGGATAGAAACACAATCAAGAAAATCTTGTCAATTCTCACTGGCAGTAAAAGTTTTTGAAACTGGCTTATAGATATTCAAAAGGTCCATTCTTTAAGATTCCCAATTATAAGATCCACTTCCCCAGTCAATAAACTCTAATTGGATCTGGTGTGCCTCCAACATGGTAAAGCCATCAGCATTTTATTATGCAAAAAAAATATGGCCCTAACAGCTAATCAGTGTTTCTGTATTTAGTGAAACTGTTACAGCCTGAACATTTAATGCTGATTTAATCAAAGGAGATTTTTACTTCTGAAATAGATTTACAGCAGAACTGGTTAAAAATGGGTTCTGTTAAACTCAGAAATTTCAAGCATAAGACTTATTTATAACCTGTGATAGAGTTGCCATTATCATTTTAGTCTCTTTAACTTTGCCATGACAAAGGGTCACAATTATTAAACCATGTCTAGAAAGAATTTGTTAGGACTTGCAGTCATCGCTTTATTCGCTAATGAACAACAGCTGCCTACACATAGGGCTGCTAGTGAAATTAATTCTTCTGCTCTTAGTCCTCCTTGATAAATGCTTCCACATTCAACAGTGAGGAGCAGCAATTTCTTGGGGGAATGAGAAAGCTGAGCTGTCTTATTAATTGAATGCCCCACCATGGCATATCTACCACGGCTGAGGTTTTGCTAAAATCTGACATCAGTTCCTTAGTAAGATCTATGATAATGCAGCTCTTCCATCTCTATTCATTAGACTTTCACAGGTCTAGTCTTCTAATTGCCCTGTTCCCACAGAAAGAGATCTTACCTGCCCCAGGAGCAAGCAGCCAGCTATACAGATAGCCTGCGGCCAGGGAATAGTAAAGCACCAGTCCCCTCTGGCCATTAACCATCTCTAAGATCTGATCAATAGTGACTGGGGAGTAGGGGTCGGAGTCCTGTTGTCCTGTTTGTCGTTCCACCAGAAGATCAGCAAATGCCCTTGTCCGTCCCCTTTCCGCCACGGCCAGGGCTTCATCATGATGGCCTAGGAGACAAAGAGATATGCTGAGGAGTCCATAGCGAGTGTGCTTACTTAATAGAGGCCTATCAGGGACGGCCATCAAATCCTGGGAAGAAACCTCACTGCCTCTGCTCTCCAACATGTGACAGAATCTCAATCACACTGCTTTAGATTCAATTCCCTGCCTCAGATGGTGGGTGCAGCGTCCTACATGACTGATTCCACACTACCCTAAACCATTGAGTCTTCACCTGTCTTGCAGCCAGTGCCACAAAGGAGCTAATCTAATTCAGTCCACTTGTCTTAAGTCCTGCCCTTCTCTGTTCTACCTCCTGAGTTGTTCCCTAACCTAGCTTTTTTTTTTTTTTGCACTTCCTGCCTGGCTTCTGACACCAGGTTTTTTGGTTTCACTTGGCTCTTTACCTTTTTTTTTTTTTTTTTTTTTTTTTTTTTGAGACGGGGTCTCACTCTGTCGCCCAGGTTAGAGTATAGTGGCACAATCTCAGCTCACTGCAGCCTCTACCCCTGCCCTGGGTTCAAGCAATTCTCCTGCCTCAGTCTCCCAAGCAGCTGGGACTACAGGCATGTGCCACAGTGCCTGGCTAATTTTTGTATTTTTAGTAGAGACGGGGCTTTGCCATGTTGGCCAGGCTGGTCTCAAACTCCTGACCTCAGGTGATCTGCCCACCTCAGCATCCCAAAATGACTGACTCTCTCTCTCTCCTCCCTCCATGCAGCCCCTCTATGCATAACATTGTCCAGCCTTATCCATTTCTCCCCAAATTATATCTCCGTCCCTTTACACATGCCAGCTCCTCTCCTGGGTATGCCCTTCTCCCTTTCACTTGCCTTGTCTCAAGAAGAGGGATGCCAATATTTGTCCTGCCTATCTCAAAGGGCTATTTTAAAGATTAAATGAAGCACTACATGTAAAGATGCCTGGTAGGCCTACTTAAAGCACTGCATGTGTAACAGGTAGTAGTAGTGTTGTTGGGGCTGATACCTCATTCCATTCTGGGATCCAACATACTTTTTCCTTTATCCCCATGGGCAAAGAGTTTAAACCTCTCAGCTCTCCATTTCTTTAAAATTGCTTCTCTATTTCAAGCTTTTCCTGTCTTTTACTTGAATTTTGAATCCCACTTTCCTTAAGAAACTGGCCTATAATCTAGTTTAAAAGCTAATGCACCAATATGAAAGCACAAAAAATGTAAAGGAATTGTTTATAAGTGCTGAAGGAACAAATGCAGAGGATTTACTTTTGTCACACATGTAAATATGGAAGAGTTACTATAACTTGAGTCCAAAGAAAGCAGACAGAAGCAGGCCAGATGCTGCAGCTGTGACAGCACTTCAAGGATGCCTTGCTTCCTGCAGTTTGTGTATCAGAAGCAAGTGGAGATTTATATGTGTGTGTGTAAGTGTCTCCTTTTACTCTATTAAGTTATTAACTGGAACAGCAGGGACAATTTCTATGCACATTGGAAAATTGGTCCCAAAGTGCCAGACAGACTTAACACTGTGATTATAATAGATAATAAACTGTAATCCCAAGCAATGAACACATTTAATAGATACATTTTTCAAAAGGAAATTTGAGACTTCTTATACATACAGCAAGGGACAGGTTATCAAAAAGGCCTCAACATCCAAATTCAAAGCCTTTGATAGTTGCAATAAATATCTCCTGGGAAGAGGCAGATGACAGACAGGGGAGCTGGAAGGGACTGGCTGACTAGTTAAGGCTCAGGTGAAAAAGGATGCATGCTGCCCCAGTGTGATGGGGCACACAGGCTTGGGAGAATCATCACTGACTGTGCCACAGCCTAGGAGGCAGACCCAGGTGGTAAAAACATTTATTAAACAGCAACCTTGAAAGATGTGTGGCTGAGGAAAGAGAGAAAAGGCAGGTGTCTTCTCAGGTACTTCCCTTAGTCAGATGCTTGAGCCATGTGCTAGTGGTGAGAGGGAACCTGGGGAGGGCACACCTGGTTCAAGCATCCCTGTCTCAAGGACACTTTCTCTGCCTCCTGGACCCAAAGATAAGAGACTTTGTTGAACCAGGCAAACGACTTTGTTTCAGGCTGAGTGTGATGGTTCATACCTGTAATCCCAGCACTTTGTGGAGGCCAAGGCGGGAGAACTGACTGAGCCCAGGAGTTCGAGATCAGCCTGGGCAACATAGTGAGACCTCATCACTATTTTTTTTTTTTAAAGAGACTTTGTTTCCACAGCATTGGAGTTTATCTTAATGCCAATCAGCACTGTACTGGACTCACTGACTAAAGCCTTTCCACAGGCTAAGAGCTTCTTATGGTCAGGAACCAGGTCTTCTTGACTATAATCCCCAGGGCAGGCACTCAGCACGTGGTCAGAGCTCTACTAATCTTCATTGAATAAATGAATGAATGTTCAATGACTGGTTATAGTTGTGGCTCCACAGTCTGTTGTCAAAAAAAATCATTTCATCACACCTGTCACTAAACAACTTGGACACACATCTGTGCGCACCAGCACACACATAGGCAAGGAATAACCCCAGCTGTTCTCACCTAGGCTGACAAGCACCCGCTGCAAGGCCTGGTAGGATGATGTCTGTAGGTCAAAGAGGGAGAGTTTGTAGTCCGTGCTCAGCTGTGCCTCGTGTCGGATCGTTTCAAACAAGGCTGATGCCCTATAAAGCTGCAAGGAGGAAGAACATCATTCATTCCCCAGAAACCAATGTCCAGCTGTTTACAGACTAGAGACAACTGTTGCTCACGTCTCTGTGCACAACCTAAGTATTTTTTTAAATATTTGAAAGGAAGAATCTTATGTCCAGGTATAAGGAAAATGGATGTGCTGTGGTCAAGAATAGGCCGAGGCAGACATCCAGTCCAGCGTGACTCTGGGAGTTTGGAGCACAGGTGCACAACTTTACTCATTATGTAACCATGCCATGTGAGGCTCACCCATGTGAGCTCATGCTTAGCTCAGAGCCACTATTGTCTGTAAAAGGTATAATTACCCTGCTTATGTTGCATATATGGCTTGTACCCACAGCTCGCACCTGGGCTCACTCACGCCCAGAGAGACAGTAGAGCCACGTTGAAACTGTCTATGATTCCTTTAGTGTTTTTCCAGCTACCTGCCACTTGCCCACTGACTTCCCTCATTAGAACCTGACACCAGGTAGGTCTTTGTGGACCTGAAAAGACATCAGATCATACCCAGTAAATTACAGTTTATATAATCCATTTTTGATGCATAACGGGATCTAAAAGACATTACAGACTTATGGTCTTAAAGATATTAAAACAGCTATTAATCCAACCAACTGCTAATTTTTATTAAAACAAAAAGCCTCTCCTCTTGTCATCAAGCAACCACAATTCACCACCGTCACACCTCATGGTGAGGAAGGATGCGAGTGGGAACAGGTGTGATGGAGGCATGCTGGAAATGGATGAGGCTAAGAGGAAGAGAGCGCCACATTCTCTGGAGGGCAATAGCTCTTTGCAGATGGTTCCCTGCCTCAGGGTCGGATCACCACTGGGTGAGCTCCTCAAGGAGCCATGCCCACTCACATGGACACTCTGAGGACCAGACAGTTGCCATTCCTACGGAGACACTGTCCTGCTGCTCTAACAGGCTTCTCCATCAGTGAGGCCATGGACTTTTCTGACTCTGATGTTTCATTTTTCCCCCTTATGCCACACTGTCTAAGATGACTCTGATATTTATATGCTGGAAACTCAGTATCAAATTTTAAATTTATCCAAACTTAAAAATCATCAGAATTCTAAGACTACTTCTTTCTTGGCCTTTTGGCTAAGATCAAGTACAGAATTTTAAGACTAAGAGACATAGATCCAGAGAGTGGTAAGAGAATGTGTTCCTAACTCTGCCACTAACTCGCTGTGTGACCTTTGGCAAGACTCAGAGACTCAATTTCTTCCTCTCTATAAAGAAGGAAGTTTCTACCTCACAGGGTTATTTTAAGGATTAAATCCATTGAGGTATAATAAATACTTTCAAAATTTCAAATCAGAATATCAACACAGGTTTCACTTTTTATAACCAGGAAATTAGAAAATCAATCTTTTACGTTGCCTTTAATCATTTTACAAGTACAGTAAAACCTAAGATTCTAGAATGCTATGGTGCAAATTCAGTCACGTGTCTTCGACTCTTGTGAGCACCTATTGATAGAAGACTTATCCTTGGTCCCCCTCTGCCTAGCACAGTCTCCTCTGCAGTCACCACTCACATGCTCGCTATCTGGATGAGCATGTGATTTTAGATGTAGCCATCTCACTACCCCTCCAACCTAACAGAGGAGACCATAACTCCAGGGATCTTTCTACTCTCCAGGGCCAGCATGACAAGGGATTTTCCTTCAACTACTTGCACATATGCAGAAACATGGCCTTTTTTTAAAACAGGGAGAGAGAGAAATTATATCTATTAATATATCTAGGGACATTAAATCTAATAATTATGAATTCTTTTACTTCTGTCATGAAACGAATATAATTTTATTATTATATTAATGTTTAATGGGGAGCAATAGCACTTAATACAAGAATTCCTAAGAAATTATTGATAAATCTATCACACGAGTGAGCAAAAATCTTTACTGATTGTTCAATAGTTCTGGGCTGGTACAGGCTGGAAATCATACACATCAGCCCAAGGGTAGAAGTCAGTGCCTCTGGTAAATGCCATCACTACTAGGAAAGTAATCCTAAGGTCTTCCATGTTGCCAGAAACAAAAAATCCACTTCAGTCAGGGGTTCTGCTTACCTGGTGTTGGGCCTCCTCCAAGTTTCCACTAGCCCAAAGGGAGAGGCCAAGGCCATGGCGAATTTTTGCCTCATCTTCTCTTCGGCCCAGTTGCTCAGCTAACCTTAAACCTGAAACCAGACAGAGAAATTTAAGGAACCAGAGAAGACAGATAACTTCACTATCTTAAGGAGTCCTGGAGGGTCATTTTACTTTTCTGTTTTTGTTTGTTTTGAGACAGAGTCTCACTCTGTTGCCCAGGCTGGAGTGCAGTGGCAGCTCATTGCAGTTTTGACCTCCCCAGGCTCAGATGATCCACCTCAGTCAGCCTCCAGAGTAGCTGGGACTATGGGCACAGGCCACCACACCTGGCTGGCTTTTGTATTTTTTGGTCGTGACAGGGTTTCACTATGTTGCCCACACTGGTCTCCAGCTCCTGGGCTGAAGTGATCCACCCACCCTGGCCTCCTAAAGTGCTGGGATTACAGGACTGAGCCACTGCTCCCACCCAATTTTGCTTCAAGTGTCTATAAAAAAATGTTAACCAGAGTTATTCAGGAAGCTGAGGCTGGAGGACTGTTTAAGCCCAGGAGTAAGAATCTAGCCTGGGCAACTTAGTGAGACCTATCTCTTTAAAAAACAAACAAACAAACTAACAACACAGCTAGATAAAATGAGGACAAGAGCTGAATCAGCCAAGGTAGAATAAGCATTCTCTTCAAATTCTGTGCTGGTAGCAACATTTCCAGGACATTCCAGGATGCCTCGGCAAGAGCTCAGGTGATGGCTACCAACAGGAGACAGGTTTGCAGGGCAGAGAGAAACACTAAAACAAGTGAAACCTAACCTGGTCACCCTCCTAGATTTGAAATCCATAGCTTTGCAAATGAAAACTCCTGGCTGATAAATTTATCTAACCTGATTCTTCGCTGGCAAAGCGCTTCCTGACAGTTAAATACAGAAGGAAAAAGAATACTTTTCCTTTCTCATGTGCATAGCATCCAATGAGTGTCAACAGAAGAAACACACGATGTTCTCCTGAAAGCAGAATATGAACACAGCCTGACCCTGCCTTCTGTTACTGATGCTACTGACACATTTCATGTTTAATCTGTTTTCCCTTTCAGTCTAAGACTTTGATGTGCCTCAGCGGGGTTGCAAAACAAGTGCTATTATGAGGCAAAAGCCTTAAATGAGACCATCCTCATTTTAATAGCCCTCAGATAGGCACCTGCAGTTTGGGTCACTTACCCACAGCAAGCTTCTGGGTTTCAGGACACCAGCAACCTCCAGGGCTTTGTGACAGTCAAATCTGAAGGCAACCATTTATTGCATTGGTCACTATGCAGTTCTCAGCATTGCTTTGCCCTCATTATCCTGCTCTCTGCACCTAGAATCTAGCTTGTGCAGAGACAGCATGAAGGCTCCCACCGTACAACTGCATATACAAAGGAAGGACTTCCTTCTTCTAATCTAATTCAGGGTAGATGGAAGCTGCCTCTGATCATGCTGGCCCTGTGCAATTTCAGACTTTTGAAAAGGAACTGAGGCTGTTGAGAGGGTAAGAAAAGTAGCACTCAGGTTCAAGGTCATATACATCTCAAAATGCTCATAACTCAGAAAACTTAGAAACATCGTTTTAAGTTTAAATGATGCTTTGGATAACAAAAATATTTGTAAATAATTCACATTTTTAAACACCTCACAGAATGGAAAAACATATTAAAGAAGATGGTTCGTGGGAAAAAACCAGAAGGATACTGATTGCTTAAACCTTCAATAAGCTAACCACATTAATTCTTCAATACAGATGTCCCTGCTAGGTCGAGATCTGAGTCAAAAGTGAAATTCATTGAGACAACTCCTACTTAGAAGGAATGTTCTCTGAGAACAGGGACTTTGCTTTTTCCTGCTGTATCCCCACCATGCAGGACTCTGAGGTTCAACAATGAAGAGTTAAAAGCCCACTGGATAGACAAGGTATCTGTCCTGCCCCAGTTTCTATCTGCTTCTGGCTTTTAGGAACTGACTCACCATCCAGCTCTCCTAGAACCTATAGTTTGTCAGGGACTGGTCCCAGGCAAGTCACCAACTTGATCCAAGCTCCCTTTCTTCATTTGCAAGAAGAAGAAAGGCTGGGTGAGACCATTGGCTTTAACCAGAGGTGTCCCCCTCCGCAGCACCTGGAGAGCTTGTTCAAAAACTCAGACCAGGCTCCATCTGTGAGAGTCTTATTGCACTGAAGCAGGCTGCTGCTGATCCACAGGCCCCACAGCCTCCTCCCCTCAGAAAGCCAGGAGAGAGGGAGCTTTCCAGATAAGCTAGTCCTTCATTGCCAGAGGCTGCAGACCTAACTCAGAGCATTGGAAAAGCACTGTCCAGGTGTCCTGCACTCATGAGAAGAGACATCTGGTTTGGCCCATGAGGCAAGCCACTGGCTGCAGGCTCCCTAGTGGACATATCCACAAAACAGACACTGTAGAGGTGCTACAAATTAGAGTTTTAGATGTCTGCAAGACTTAAAAATTACAAGAAACAATAAAATGAACTTGAGAATTTTCCATAAATATAGAATTGTGTTGCAATGTCTCAGGCAAACCAGCTGTTTCATGGAAGCAGTATTTCAGGAAGTACAAAGAACACAGCTGAAAAGTTGTCATATGACTGAATTTAATAGTTTTCACAAATTCAACTGAAAATTGCTCCTCGTCTGCTGGAATTTTACCACAGTTAAGTTTCAGGAAATTAGAAGCCAACATTCTCATTTAATGCATTGAGGCAGAGCCCCATGTGGGCAGAATGGGAGCCAGATAAGGTCTGGGAAGCAGCTTCAGACTTTGTAACCTCTCAGACTGCAAGCCAGCACAGTCCCTGGTCCATTGCAAAGGAGACCAGTGAATCAGCCCTTTACCCATTCTCCTCTTTGTTTCCTGCTTCTCCCTCTCCTGGCTTCCCAGTGGGGGTTCAGGAGTAAAAGATGATAGGGTGCCCGACCCTGCTCTGCAATTGTAAAGTTAGAAACAACTTCAGAGAGGGTCTTGTGTGGTTTCTGGTTCAGAAAACCCAAGCTGGGTCCTATTCCTTGACTAACTGACCACAGGATTAGGATAAAATCACTGTACTCCTCTGAACCTCAGGTGACTAAACTGCAAAAACAGGAATCAAAAGATATACCTCACAAGACTATTGTGAGGACAGAATCAGATTAAATATACTTTAAGTGCAAAGCCCCTTGGAAGTGAGAGTTTTTGCTTGAAATCAGTAACCATTCCTTTTACCAGTGAGCTACCTGCCCCTTTTCCCTTCTAGGGTGAGAGGATCCAATGTGCCTGTGTGAGGGGAAGGATGCATTGCTGTGCGACTTCAGCTTTCGGAAGAATGAAGCATCCAAGGTCCAACTGTGCAGCCTTCAGTTTCTAGGCTTGCGTGGAACAAGACCCTACTGTGGCACCAGTCCAAGCACTATAGGTGACAAATGCTGGGAAGGATGCCTGGTTTACTACTCGAGTGACCCTCAAACTGATGCTTCTAGATTAGACTTCAACTGCCATGTCAGGACTGACTCAAGTTTTCATATAGTTAGATACTCGTTAGAGGGATAACAGAGCTTGGAGCAGATGGGCATTTTCTTCTGACTCAAACCCTTATAATTTTTTAGGATTACATCTTATTTGATTCGTCTGTGTGAGAACAAGTTGCTCATTCCACAGAGGGTTCTGAAAAGCAAGGAGGGCATCAGCTCCTTGGGCATCTGGCGAGCAACGGATGCTGTCACTAAAAGAGTAAGACAATCTGGGTCCACAGAGAGCAGGGCAAGGTGCTGCGGACAATGAAACACCTTAGTACTATCAAGGGACATCTGGTGGGGACACTGTGATTCTGGAGTTGAGCTGACAATGTGGCCTCTGAGACCCTTACTCCACACAGAGGTGGCCACTCAAACTGCGCATACTTCTCTCTGAGTCTTGAGTTCTGACTCTGAACTTGATTTCAAGCAGGCCACGAGAACAAAATGGGCCTTTTCACCTACCTTCCTGTAAGTACATGACTGCTTGGGAATAGTTCTGCAAGGCATGATGGGTCCTTCCAAGGCTACTATATGACACCGTCTTGGCCACCAAGTCATTCATCTGTGCAGCAATGCTCAAGTGCTGTTCTTGATAGACCACAGCCCTCTCGAAGGTGCCCAGGGATTCATAAGTCAGGCCCAGGTTCCCATAGGCTCGGCCCTGGCATGTGGGGTTGTTGGTTTCCTCTGCTATCTGTAGATCAAGCTGGTGGTACTGCAGGGCTGTGTCATACTCCCCCATCTGCTGGTAAACGCCCCCCAGGCCACAGGCTGCGTCACTCTCCAGGGCTCGGTCTTTCATATCTCTAGCAATGTTCAGCTGGCGTTCAAGGCAGGAAATGGCTTGTTCGTAATTCCCTAATTGGCTGTGCAGACTTCCCAGCTCTCCATAGGCCTGGGCTTTATTGAAGGCCTCCCCGAGCTCATGGGCAACCACGAGCCTCTTTTCAAAGCACACAAGGGCTTGCTGCAAGTTCCCCATTGCCCTGTGGGGATGTAGACAGAAAAGCAATGATATTATTTTGTGCAGGTGCAGACAGGCTAAAGCCCCTGAGAAAATGAAAAGCATTTGTCACTGTCACTTACTATAGAAGCTCTTAACTCCTCTTCTAGCTAAAATCTATCATGTGCCCTTAGAGTGAGATGCAGAGGAATTTCATAATCTGAAAAGCAATTCAAAAGTCATCCCTTAGTGACCTTCCCAAGAGCTTGAGATTCAATGGGATATACACCCCAGAGGAAACATAAAATATATTAATAGGCACAATGATAGCAAGTGAACTGTCTGGTTCTTCAGGCCTCCCTATTTCCACTACTGCTTAGACTATGATTTTGAAATCACTTTACAGTGGCTATAAATCTTTCACCCTGAGCTTCTCAGAGCATTCTGCAGGTGAAGATTTAGTTTGACCCTTGCCCTTCCTCCACTCCAGGAGTCCTAATCCCCTCTCTGGTGGGGCCATATATTCTGCAGACACAGACACCTTCTTGGGTTCCCCACATTTAGGAGAAAGTATTACCTTGACCAACAGTGTGTCCTTTTGTGCTGCTAAGAGAAGACATAAGAGTGGGAAGAGCATGACCAAACCAGTTGTGTGGGGCACATGAATTCATTCCCCTGAGTCTCCGATTCTGGTGATAATAAATCCCACATCCCACAGCAGATGATAATAGACGTAGAGTTATATGGAAATGCTATAACTATTAAGATATCTGTGCAAGGGACCTAGCATGATGCATGCTACATAGTACATTTATTCATTCCCCTATTATCAGGTGGCTTTTCCAAAGAGCAACACAATGGGGTCTAAGTAATTGTTAAGTGCAGATGTTGTATTAATAAACACATTCATATAATGTGGGAGGTATTCAGAAAAGATCAGTGAAAGTGACTCATTCACCTTCTCCATCCCTATTATCCTTCTCATTATATTGTAGTCAAAAGGCACTGCATTTGGAATCACAGAGCCCTGCGTTTAACTCTCAGCTATCCCTTTTAAGCTGAATAATCTTAGGCATTAACTCAATTTCTCTGGACTTTATTTTCTTTGTCCATAACATAAGGGTAACATCAACTACTTAATTCAAACAACTGTTGGAGAAATCAGATGAGACATGTATGAAAATGTTTTATAGTTAACAAACTGCCATGCACACATGAAGTTGCCATTACTGTCTCAAATGCTCTTTGTGTAGAACTATAAATCACATTTGTCCTTGGTCATTTTTACCTGTGTCCATTTCCCAGGCCGCGGTAAGCCTTGGCTTGGTCTTGCATGCGATTCAGACTCTGGGCAACAGATAAATATTGTTCGTAGTATTTGATAGCTTCCTCATAGTCACCCAGGGCTTCGTAGCAATCCCCCAGGTTGCCGTAGGCCCGGCCCCTGTCGAGCACAGACTCATTTCCACTTAGCTGCTGCAGCATGGCCAATTGCTGCTCAAAGTAGCCAATGGCTTCTTCCATCACATTCATGTTCATCTTTGTGATGCCCATGTTGCCATAGACCTGGGCTTCCAGACTCGGATCCTTCAGCTTTTGCCCTAGATCCAGTTGCTCTTCGTAACACTTGAATGCCATTGTATATTTCCCAAGGGCCATGTAGACGGCAGCCAGGTGCCCATGAGCTCTGCACTCCCCTGGCAAGTCACTCAGCTCCTGATATACCTCCAGTTCCTGTGTGTGATAACCCAGGGCCTTGTCATACTTCTGGATCATTCGGTATGCAGTGCCCAGGGCTGCATATGCACTGGCCTCTAGTCTTCTATCCTTCACCTGGTGAGCTAAGCCCAGCTGCTGCTCATAGAATTTTATTGCACCACTTATATCTTTTTTACAGATGAATATATCGCCCAGGTTCCCTAGGGCTCGAAATTTAGCCTGGGAATTATTCAGAGACTGGGCTAGGGACAGTAGGTACTTCTGACACTCTTCAGCTTTACTGAAATTCAGCAGAGCCTTGAATGCTAGGCCCAAGTTGCAGTAGGCTTTTGCTTGGCTCAACTTGTCATGAAGGTCTTTGGCCAGTGCCAGATCCTGCTCGTAGTACTTCACTGCCTCCTGGTAATTTCCAAGGCAGTAATGGGCATAGCCAAGGTTGTGGCAGACCTTCCCTTCTCCTTCCATGTCTTGAAGGTCAGGAGCAAGCCGGAGATACTGTTCATAATAGGGGGCAGCCTGGACATACTCTCCCCGAGAGCAGTGGAAATTACCCAGGTTGCTGAGGGCCCGGGCCTCGCTTTGGATGTCTCGTAGCTCCCGGGCGATGTTCAAGTGGTTCTGATAGTGTTGCAGGGCTCGGTCATGGGCACCCAGAGCCTGGTAGGCCACGGCAAGGTTCCCATGCGTGGAGGCCTGAGAGGCGCGGTCGTTCACTTCCATGGAGATCTGCAGCTCCTGCCGATGGTATTTGACCGCCTGGTCGTACATGCCAAGAGCGTTGTAGGCGTTGCCCATATTCCCATAGGCACGGCCCTGGGCAGCATAATCACTCAGCTCCTGAGCAATGCACAGATGGGCCTTGTGGAGTTTCAGTGCAGTGTCATAATCGCCTTTCATCTGGTGTATGATTCCTGAGAAACAGAAAAAAAGAACAGGCTAAGACTGAAATAACTGATTTGCAATGTAGAAAGAAATGTAATTTGCATCTCAATTTATAGTAAAATGCAATCCAGATGAATTAAAGAATTTAAAATAACAGAAGGTAGAATTAAATATTTATCAGCTCTCCAGAGGGAGAATAGCTTAAGTTCTAAAGCAACAGAAAGAAACATTTACAGATTTTATTACAAAAATAAGAATGTTTGCACTACAAATACATATCTAAAATTAAAAGGCAAAACAATACTGGAAAATATATTAAATATAAATTAAAAAGTTCAATAGCAATTGTGTGTAAAGAGTTTACTCAGTTTGATTTATTAAAAATGAAGATCCAATTTACTAAAATAGGCAAAGATCTGTAAATGTCAGCAGACAACTCACATTCAAAGAAATACAAGAGTAACCACAGGGGAAAATGCTAATTTCATTTAATAATCAATGAAATGCAAAATAAAGCAACCCTGAAGTGCCATTTTACTTCAGCTAAATTAGCAAACAAAAAAATTAACCATAACTCCTACACTGATGAAACTGTCCTAAAATTGGTAAACATACCAACTGCTGGGGACATAAACTGGAACAACCTTTTTGCACAAGCAGCATAGCAAGAACCACGAACGCTCCTACTGTGACCCAGCAATCTTACTTAAGGGAAAGTACCCCAAGAAAATCATCTGACAAACACAAAAGCTTGCATAACAATACACATAACAACCTTCAATATGGCACTATAGACTACCTGAAAATCAGAAACATCTTAAATGTGAAACACTGGAAGATTGTATAAGTACATTTTGGTATATCAACTCAACATGGGATTATGCAGTCATTAAAAAGATAATTATGAAGTCTATACTGAAAAGTGGGGAAACAATGTTATTGTAATCACATTACATGGAAAAATCAGGAAAAAATGCGGCATACTCCTGTGCCAACAACTAGGAAAATAAGTATGTCCACACACATGAACAAGCTCTTGATGAGCTTATGCAAAAACAAGAATAGTCGCCTTGTTAGGTGGTGGAATTTCAGTAATTTTTGTTCTAAAATCTCTTGTAATTCTGCTATACTGCTTTTACAATCAACAGTAACAGTGTTTCAAACAAATATCATAAACCATATTATAGCTGCTAAGCTATTATTTTAACAAGCAGTTAAAATGAGATATATCATAAATGTCCTAACTATAAATTGGTTTCAATAAGGGATAGCATAATGGTAACTTGGGAGCTGGCTTTAAGGAGAGCTTGGTCCATCCTAGTTGGGGCGAGAGTGAGGGCCACCACTAGAAAGGGTAGAGAGAAGCCAGTATGCAAACAGTTCTCTCCTTGCCTTTGGTTTTGAACATGCTTTTCCATGCATCAGTGTGTGAGCTTTCCAATGGTGACTAAACCTTACAGAAGCCCCAAAAGTTGAAAATGCCAAGATGTGTTCTTATTAAAACATCTGAATTAAAAACAGAGGCACTGAGAAAGAAATCTGTGAAAACCTAGCCTCCACAATTTGTGCATCTCTCTGACATCCTATTCATTCATTCACTTATCCAGCAGACATTAGGTGGGTATTTACTGTATATTAGAACTTGTGGTGGGCAGCAGGGGTAGGAAGAAGAGTGAAGACAGAGGTCTCTGCCCTCAGAGAGCACAATGGGTCAAAAGGCAGACAGTACGCATGATCAAGGCTGAAGTCAGGGCAGGGCAGGAGCTGGGGATACAGTGCAGGGTGAGTCTCGGGGGACCACTCTGCTGGTCCTGACTCCTCCCTTGCATGACGTGGAGATCTGCCCTGCCACAAGAGTCATATGCAGTCCTGGGACCCAGCCATCTCTTGGACTTAACTGGACTTAAGATATTGGGTAAATCATTTAGCCTTTTTGAGTTTTACCTAGTTCATCTATAAAACGAGAAAAATAATAAACATAACACCAACCTTAGGAGATGACAGTATCAAATGAAATAATGTACGTGCAAGAGCACTGTAAACTACAGAGTGAAATTGCAATATTAGTTATTGAAATTATGTACTTCCAGGGAAGGAAATTCTTGAGGTGGTGGAAATTAAATAAACCATGATAATTCTTCTGTATATTTTTTATGAGTAAAATATTTCATAATTCAAAAATAACTAAATCATGGTACATTTATACAATGGAATAAACATGGTGACATTAAAAATGGTGAAGGGCTGGGTGTGGTGGCTCACACCTATAACCCAGCACTTTGGAAGGCTGAGGCAAGAGGACTGCTTGAGCTTAGGAGTTCAAGACAAGCCTGGGCAACACAGGGAGACCTTGTCTCTACAAAAAATTTAAAAATTAGCTGGGCATGGTGGTGTAAGCCCGTAGTTCCAGCTGCTTGGGAGGATGAGGTAGGAGGATCACTTGGGCTCAGGAGTTCAAGGCTGTAGTAGGCTATGACTGCACCACTGCACTCCATCCTGGGTGACAGAGTGAGACCCTGTCTTAAAAAAAAAGATAAAGTCAGTCAGGATCCAAGATGGCCAAATAGGAACAGCTCTGGAGAACAACGCAGAGGGTGAGTGAACACCACATTTCCAAATGAGTTACTACTGCCCACAGACAAGGAGATTCCCAGGCTGAAAAGCACCACAAGTTTCCAACATGGCTGTTTCAGCGGGCACAGCAGATCTCTGCACAAAAACTCACACAAATCAGGGCGGCCATTTCAACTGGGGCCTGGAACACCTGGGAGACACAGCCGCCCATTCGACTGAAAAAAAAAAGGGGGCTGAAGCAGGGAGCCAGGTGATCTGGCTCAGCAGATCCCATCCCCACAAAAATCCAGCAATCTAAAATGCTCTGGATTGAAGTTTTGCAGCAAGCATAAATGGACCCAGGACGGTCCAGCTCTGTGGGGGGAAGGGAGTCCACCATTACCGAGGCAGTCTGCCGCTACTGTGGCAGTCCACCATTACCGAGGCAGTCTGCCATTACCAAGGCAGTCCACCATTACGGAGACAGTCCACCATTATGGAAGTAGACTGCCATTACCAAGGCAGTTCTAACTATACCTCTGTAAACAAAACCGCAAGGAAGTTCACATAGCTGCTGGGCAGAGCCCACAGCAGCTCAGCAATGCCTCTGCTGGCAGATTGTGACTAGGCTACCTCCTCACTGGGCAGGGATCTCTAAAAAAAGGGCACCAGCATGTCAGGAACTTATAAATAAAGCCCCACCTCCCCAGGAAAAGAGCACCTGGGAAAAAAAAGGCAGTTATGAGTTCCGCTGCAGCAGGCTTAAATGTACCTGCTCAGCAGCTCTGAGGGAACAATGGAGCTCACAGTTCAGCATTTGAGCTCCTATAAGGGACAGACTGTCTCCTCAAGCAGCTCCCTGACCCCCGTATATCCAAAGAGATACCTCATAAAGGAGAGCTCAGGCTGACATCTGGCGGGTATGCTTCTGGGACAAATATAACAGAAGAAGAGACTGGCAACAACCCTTATTGCTCTGCAGCTGCTGCAAGTCCCCAGGCAAGCAGGGTCTGGAATGGACCTCCAGCAGTCCTACAGCAGAGGAGCCTGACTGTTAGAGGGAAAACTAAAAAACAGAAAGAAATAACTTCATCATCAACAAAAAGGACGTCCACTCAGAAACCCCATCCAAAAGTCACCAACTACAAAGACCACACGTAGATAAGTCCACAAAGGTGGGAAGAAACCAGCACAAAAAGGTTGAAAACACCCACAACCAGAACGCCTCTCCTCCTCCAAGGGATCACAACTCCTTACTAGCAAGGGAACAAGGCTGGATGGAGAATAAGTCTGATGAACTGACAGAAACAGGCTTCAGAAGGTGGGTAATAACAAACTTCTCTGAGCTAAAAGAACATGTTCTAACCCAATGCAAAGAAACTAAGAACGTTGAAAAAAGGTTTGATGAAATGCTAAAGAGAATAAACAGCTTAGAGAAGAATACAAATGAATTGATGGAGCTGAAAAACACAACACAAGAACTTCAAGAAGCATACACAAGTTTCAATAGCCAAATTGATCAAGCAGAAGAAAGGATATCAGAGATTGAAGATCAACTCAATGAAATAAAAGAAGGCAAGATTAGAGAAAATAAGAGTAAAAAGAAATGGACAAAGCCTCCAAGAAATATGGGTGAAAAGACCAAAAAATTAGGTGAAAAGACCTAATCTATGTTTGATAGGTGTAGCTGAATGTGATGGAGAGAATGAATCCAACCTGGAAAACACTCTTCAGGATATTATCCAGGAGAACTTCCCCAATGTAGCAAGGCAGGCCAACATTCAGGTCCAGGAAATACAGAGAACACTGCAACAATACTCGTCTAGAAGAGCAACCCTAAGGCACATAATTGTCAGATTCAACAGGGTTGAAATGAAGGAAAAAATGTTAAAGGCAGCCAGAGAGAAAGATCAGGTTACCCACAACGGGAAGCCCATCTGACTCACAGCGGATTTCTCCATAGAAACCCTACAAGCCAGAAGAGAGTGGGGGCCAATATTCGACATCCTTAAAGAAAAGAACTTTCAACCTAGAATTTCATATCCAGCCAAGATAAGCGTCATAAGCAAAGGAGAAATAAAATCCTTTACGAACAAGCAATTGCTCAGAGATTTCGTCACCACCAGGCCTACCTTACAAGAGCTCCTGAATGAAGCACTAAACATAGGAAGGAACAACCAGTACCAGCCACTCCAAAAACATACCAAATGGTAAAAAGCACAGACACAATGAAGAAACTGTGTCAACGAATGGGCAAAACAACCAGCTAGCATCAAAATGGCAGGATCAAATTCACACATAACAATATTAACCTTAAATATAAATGGGCTAAATCCCCCAATCAAAAGACACAGACTAGCAAATTGGATAAAAAGTCAAAATCCATCAGTGTACTGTATCCAGGAAACCCATCTCACGTCCAAGGATACACATAGGCTCAAAATAAAGGGATGGAGGAAGTATACCAAGCAAATAG